ACATATAGAACTTAACTAGCATCAAAATCGAATTCCTAGATAAATTAATTGAACTTTGGGGCAACGAAAGGGCAAAGCTCTTCTGGGAATACAGCGAATCATTGATTTCTCAATTACCAATAGAGAATGGCATGAACATAAATGATAGAAGACTTAAATTAAATTATTCCTGGAAGCAATAAATTATTTTGAGACCTTGTTTTGCTCTTCACAATTTCAAATGGCTAACAATTTGCAGATTTCATGAATTATTGAGCCCTACATTGAAAATAAATGCATATTAATTTTACAATTGAATGAGTCTTAATCAGTTTTCAAGAGAAAGAGACTTTCAAAACTAAAAAGCATATAATTTGAAAACAACATGGAAGACGACTCTGGCCAGGTTGGAAGGATTGCCTTACTGGATGAGACTATATGTTTGTGCGAGAGCATAGAATAACTGTGGAGCTGATTTTGCATTAACTACAGGGCATACTATATGAGTCTCTGATAGCCTTATCTATATTGGAGTCTATACCAATAGACTCCTTATCTCAGAGTATATATAGGACACTCAATGCTTACTAAGAGAAAGTCTTCAAGCACTACTCATGGTCATTGACCTAAACGTGATTGGAGAATCATTTCTTTCATAAAGTCGACCTATTTTTGTGAGTATCTCCGCACAAATAATTACAAAAGATCATTATACATATATATATAATATCTATTTTTGTCAATTGTTTTTTGCGTCTATAATAAAAACGTTCGTCCATTAATTCAAGCGAAGAGTCAAATGCAAAATGAAATTATTATTATAACACCTTCAATTTGACACACATGAACAATCATGTCTGGCATTTTTTCGGTCGAGCGAACTCCTAATTTTAAAAGCCATGCTGGACAAATATTATTTCAACACCTTCAATATTGCAATCATAAACAAACAAATTTTTGTAATGAATCTCAATAAGCGGATAATTTGTTGTTTTTAGTGGGCTCTCACCTGGGTCAGCGTGATGTAGCATCGATCCGTTAGAGGCGTTATCACCAGCCGCGAGGTGTTGCCCAAGTACTCATAGGCATAGCGGAACTCGGCATCGCAGATGTTGGCAAAGCAATCCTCGTCGGCGCCGCTGGCGCTGATTGTGGTCGCCGAGGTGGCGCAGCCGCTGGAGCTGCCCGCCTGATCGTCGTCCCAGCGATGCCGGAGCTGGCTCTGCCACTGGAAGGCCAACGAGTTGTCCACCCGCATGGCGATGATCTTGGCAATGACGTCACGCGAGTGCACGTCGATGGTGCAGATGGTCATAATCTTCTGGCGGTCGCCGGCAGAGAGTTCGCCCAACAGCAAATTGATTAGGGCATTCAGCTGGGCTATCTGGCGCTTGTGCAGCTCCTTCATGGCGCCCTCGTAGCCCTCCTCCATGCTGGCGAACGAGCGATTCACGTCCGCCGTCCAGTTGATCTGGCTGCAGCAGAGCGCCACCTGTGCCGGCCAATCGTAGAGCCACAAGTCGCGCGACTTCTCACAGAACGCGCCCAGAGCGCGCCGGAAGAGCTCATGGAGCGTGCTGCGCATCTGCTGGATGACTGCGCTCAGCCAGAGCTCCACCCGGCCACAGCAGTCAATGTACGCCGAGTGCTCCCGCTGCTGGTTGCTCACGAAGGCGACGTACTCGTCGTTCTCCTTGGAGTGCATGCCCACGGCGTGCGTGGTGTTCGTCTCGTACTGCAGGCGCAGTATGGAGTCGAAGAGCTTGATGAGATGACGATCGATGACCTGCGGGTTGTTGCCGTTGGAGAGTATGTCCAGCAGATCGGCGGACGATATGAAGTAGAAGCGTGGAAAGGCCAAGCGCTTCGTCTCCAAATAGTCGTTCAGCGCCTTCTCGCAAACCGAGAGACGCTGCTGCAGCTCCAGCAGCTGCTGCAGCACATCCTCGTGCCGCAGCACCACTTCCATCACCACCCGCACGGCTGTGACGCGTGCCAGCAGATTGGTGAAGTCCTCGTCGATGCGCTCAAAGTTGGCCGCATCCACGGGCAGCTGGGAGCGAATGTCCGCTGAGCCAATGAAGATGCACTCCAGATAGATCCACTTCCGCTGCACCTCAAACCAGTTGACAATCAGGTTGTCAATGCCGCTCAGCACGCGCTGCCAGTAGCTCAGCTTGTCCAGCAGGTACTCAATGTGCTTGGAGGTCGAAATGTTCTGCAGCTGCATTTGATTATCGTCGAGCGTTTCGATCAGCTCCTCGGAGACCTTGAGCAGTTGCACCGTTGGCCGCGAGCGGTGCACCTCCAACTCGAACTCCAGATGCGCCCATGTGGCCCTAATGTCGTCCAGCACCTTGGTGACCGTCATCTCTTTGATGGCCCGATCCACAGTGTTCTTAATGTCCTCCTCATGCTGATGCAGCTGCAGGCTCAGCAGCTGTGCCAGAGTTGTTGATGCATTGCACTTGTATGAAAGCTGTTGGGATTGCATTGACAATTATAATTTCCACATGTCTCTCTCTGTCTCTCTGTCTCTATCTGTCTCTGGTCTTGAGCTGCCATGAATACAATTAGGCTGCATGTCAATTAATATACGAGCCATGGCTCGTTATTAATTTTAAGCAATTTTGCTTCTAGCTGCAAATGTGCATGATATTGACTTTCAAAATAATTGGAGCTGCCTGTCTCGTCAAGCAGCTGCTGCTAATAATTACTTCTGCTAATAAGCCAGAGTGCTCCAAAGCTCCAATGCTCCACTGCTCGACTAGCAGATGCCCTCAACTGAAGTCATATATGTAAATGCAGTTTCTGTTAATTTTACATTGTTATGAGGGGCTTAGTCCAATGTCTGTGTGTCAGCGTGAATATCTATGATATTTTATGTACTACTCATACGCATTTCAAACTCTTCTGCAGAGCAAACTCATTTGCAATAGAATCATATTACACGTTTGAGTTTATCTGCTTGTCAAACTATTAAATTAATGCACTCGCCTTGCCTGCCAATCAGCTTACCAAAGCCATAAGGCGCTCAGGAGCTACGTAATCACCCCTGGCAACGTAGAAGTTTACGAGCGCAAATAATCTCGGATTTGTAACGCAAATGCAACAAGTTCAATTCACGAGCTTATTAATATGCCATAATGAAACTCTGTGCCATGCAGAGGGG